TTCGCATCCTCATACTCAACCTCAGCTTCGTCCTCTCCTTCAACCCTCCTCAGCGTGAGCCCCTGCATTGGTTGTCGCCTTTCCCAGCGCCTGCATCCGTCAGTATCCTCCTCGTTGCCTCTTCTCGTGCTCGTCCTCGTACCCAGGAACTCGACAGCAATTGAACTGGCCCGCGTCATGAAAACGATGGGCGCAGAACATGTGTTGAGCCGAATGGGTACGGAGACCCTCTGGTCCATTGCCTGCAAGGACAAGATGCCCCCAACGGTAGCCTAAACTAACCCCAAGACAACACAGGATGGACCGGAGAACCGAACCTGGCCCCAAGACAGCTTGTGTACAACCGAGAATGGCACCTGCAAAAACGACACGATGGCGCCACGGAAGACTTGAAGCGACCCGAGATTGCCGATGATGGCCCAACGACAACATATGGTGGCTCTAAGAGAGCCGACGATGCGCCAACGACCAAATATAGCCTGTGATGCCCCCGAGACATCGCAGGATGGCCGATGAAAGCCTAGGATGTTCCCAAGGCAGCCTGATATGTCCCCAAGAAAGCCCATGAGGGCCCCAAGGCTGTCTAGCATGGCCCCAAGACAGCCTATGATTGAACCACGACAGCCTGTATGACCCCAGCACAGCAGTGGTGGTGAAGGTGGTGATGATGCTGGCGAAGGTGGTGATTGTGATGGTAATGCGTTGACGAAGGTAGGGGTGATGATAGTTGTGGGGGTGATCCTGGTGATGGCGATGGCGTGGTGATGGTGATGGTAATGGCGCTGGGCGATGGCAGTGGCGGTTACAGCGCACAAGCCTGGCGAAGAGCACAACCCTTTGGCGCATGGGGCCACAGGGCGTGTGATGGGTGTACCGAGATCGACCCGAGCAGCCATGCAGGCGCAGCCATTGGTGCCTTGGGTGGAACTTCCTATGGGGCCACGGAACGTGTGAGGGGTATGCGGACGCAACCACTGGGGCCCTGGGTGGGGCTCCCTATGGAGCCACGGAGCGTGTGAGGGGACTGCCGAAATGGATCCGACGCAGCCACTGCGGCCTTGGGTGGAGCTCTCCATGGGGCCACGAAACGTGTGAGGGGTGCGCTGAATTGTATCCGAGTCACCATGCGGACGAAGCCAATGGGGGCTTGGGTGAGGTCCCATGTGGGGCCACGAAACGTGTGCGGGGTGTGCCGAGGACCCGAGTCACCATGCGGACGCAGCCACTGGGGCGCTGGGTGGAGCTCCCTATGGGGCTACGACTCATGTGAGGGGTTTGCCGAAACGATGATGTGAATGATGATGGTGGTAACGAGTATGAAGGCGATGATGCTGACGACGACGATGGTAACGACGATGATGATGCTGATGACAAGGAAGAGGAAGATGAGAGGAGGAGAGGGGGAGAGAGGCGCGCGGCGTTGCAAATTCAAAACGAAGACCCAGCACACAGGAGGCTTGCTCAAAAACAGAAGCATCATTTTACCTCCAGCGGTCCCCACAGAAGCCTTAAGCATTTGCTCCCGACGGCGCGCGGTCGCCTAATTGGTCGAACGCTGCGCGCGGGGCCCTGTGGTCCCGGCCAGTGTGGCTGTCGGTTCGGGTGGCGAATTCCGTTGTCTCCAAGTCCAACAACCCCAGAGCGCCTCACGAAAGAGCGAACAAACAAAGCTTCGAAATCGTGCGGAGGATAGGGGGCCGCAGCCTGTTGAAAGAGGAAGAGGAAGGGCATCAGCAGGAGGAGCAGGAGGAGGCGGACGACGAAGGAGGAGGGGGAAGGGGAGGGAAGTGAGGCGGACCTCTCCTCCCTAATGTTTCTTCTCCTCGCACCACTGCACAACTGCCCCTTCTGGATGTAAAACATTTCATTCGTGTTACATGTAGTCACGCTCTTGAATGTTCTGCTCAAATATGTACTGTTATGTTCTTAACGGGCCGGCGCGACGGCATGACGCCTGTGATATTAGATGCGCCGTCTGTCACGAGGTTCCTCTTAACTTATAGGGTAAGTAGAATTGAGAATGCTATGGTATGCTCATCCGTGTCGATTGGAGATGTTGTGACATGATCTGCTCTGAGGCACTATGTCATGACATGATATACAGCAACATACTATCTGAGTTAATGCTATGTTCCGTGATGGTGATCACAGCTTGGCCCACTATACTAGAACAATGTATGATATGCTGCTATGTTTCGCTATCCGCTATGTTTTGCCGTCGTATCATGACAGGTTCTGTGAGACCGCCATGATATGATATGATATGATATGTCATGTCAAGGTGTGAAATGGTTTGTTTGGTTATGTGCTGTTAGGTTGTGTCCTGTCGCCTTCTGACATGTCACAGTATTGTCTGGTATGTTATGTGGTGTTTTGTTTGTTGACGGCTCGGGTCTGTATAGTATGTTATGGTCTGCTCTGCTAGCATGTGTCGCTATGCTCTGGTGTCGTGTTATGATGTGGTCTGTGATGCTGTCATGACATCATGTGTTATGTCAAAGTGTGTTACGCTATGCTCGATTATGTTATGTTATGTGATGGTATGCCGCCTTCTGTTCTGTAATGATCTGCTCTGGTACGTCCTGTGGTTTTCTGGTATGCTCTAGTATCTCATGACGTTGCCATGTTTTGTTCTGACTTGTCGTGTCATGCTCGTGTGCTGTTCTGTCATGGTCTGGTGTCATGTTGGGTTCTGTCGTGTTCGTCGTCGCTATGCTCTGCTGCCGTGTTCTGATTTGTTTATGTAATGTTGTGTCATGGTGTGACTGTCAAGGTGTGTTATGGTATGCTCGGCTCTGTTTGGTTACGTTGTGTATGTCGACCTATGTTCTGTCATGCTCGGCTCTGGTATAGTATGTGATGTTATGTTTGGTGACGGCTAGGCCTTGTGAAACTATGATCTGGTATGCCCTGCTAATATGTGTCGCTACGCTCTGCTGACGTGTTAGGATATGGTCTGTGATGCTGTGTCATAATGCTATATGGTATGAAAAGGTGTGTTCTTCTATTATGTCGCATTATGTTCTGTCATGTTCTGCAATAGTATGGTCAGCGATGGTATGTTATGCTCTGTGTCTGATCTGCCATGTTATGCCATCCTCGTGTTCTGCTCTGGCATGTTCTGTTTTATCATGTTGTGGTCTGTCGTGTTCATCGTCGTTATGCTTTGGTGTCGTGTTATGATGTTATGGGATGCTGTGTCATGATATCGTATGTTCTGTCAAGGTGTGTTATGTTGTGCTCGACCATGCTGTGTTATGCTGTGTTGTCGATGTATGGTATGTCATGTCCTGCTCTTGTATGTATGATAAATTGTGGTATGCTCTATTTCGTTATGGCATTGCTACGTTATGTACTGCCATGGCGTGTCATGATTGTGTTATGTTATGCCATGTTATGTTGTGTCATGTTGTGGTATCTCTAGTTCGTTGTCGCTATGTTCTGGTGTCGTGTTGTAACATGCTCTTTGATGCTGTGTCATGACATCATACATGATGTCAGCATGTGTTATGTTATGCACGGCCATCATATGGTATGTTGTGTTACTTCGTCTTATACTCTGTCATGCTCCGCTCTGGTATGTTCAAAGATGTTCTCTTCTGATCTACTTTGTCATGTTATTGATATGCTCTGTTCTGCCATGTTCTGTAATGCTCTTTTCCGTTCAGTCAGGTTATATTATGTCATGGTGTGTTCTGTCGTGTTCGTCGAGGGTGCGAGGCCGGACACCCAGGACTCTCGGGGATCATCGGGACAACTTGGGGTCTGGCGGCCGCGGTGTGCACGGTGTGGTTTGCCAGGCGCCAGGCGGGACACCCGGGACCATCGGGACAATTTGGGGTCTGCTGGCCGCGGTATGCGGGGTGGGGTTGGCCAGGGGCCTTGTTTTTGAAATCTAGCAACTCAAACCTGTCGGTTGGGAAAGAATTCGACCGCTGCGTCCGACAACGATTGTGGGCGGCAACGATAGGTTGGGAACCGTCGAACACGATTCCATCCCACCACGATGGGTGCTGGTCTCTCCGAGACACCCCCGATGCTTACGCGCAACCTTGAGTGGAAGCGATGCGGTCGTTGAAGCGTGGCGCTGCCAACATGCTCACTTCAGAGGCACCGAGCGCATGTTTTAAGTGTAAACTTGACCTACTCATGAATGTCAAGGCCCTTCGGCCATACATGTGTTTATGTTGAGCAGGGACCGACCGTCCCGGAATTCCTATGGACTTACCACGACATGCTCTGAGATCCCAAGAATGTTCTAAGAACGAATAAATGATCTTAGAACATGAACCCGATGAGGTGAAAGAGAACAAACTCCGCCATACATGTTCTAAGACCATTTCGTGAACACCACAAGCGGTTCTTAGATCATGGTTTGGTAGGGATATTGGCGGGCCAGGACGCTTAGCCACTGCTAGATTATGACATCTCTAATGGGTTCCATTGGTTGCCTCCTCCTCCTCCTCCTCCTTTGGGACCAGCAGAACCACAACTATAGACGCATCCACCCCGAATGTGTCAATTTATGTAACGACGCCCATTGTGCCCATAGACGTTTATAGCTTGAGGGTGGGAACGGTATTCGGTACACGTCCCAGATACAGTCGGGATTGTTTGGACAAGACACCGGAGAGGGCCCAAGACTTTTCCGACAACAACGCGCCCTCATAACACCAGGGGGCACGCGGGCTGCAGATGTCTAGACGAACGCGTTCCACGACTCGCAAAATAACTCTTCGCAGATGGCCTGGATACGCCGCGGGGGATCTACAGTACATTACATCAACGCCGACATGTTTGGTTTCTCTTTTTTTTCTCCTGACGTTTGCGAGCAGGCGTTTTGCGAGGAATACAACGCGCTCGGCTGGATGGTCGGGATGTCAGGACACAGGGAAGACCTGCTCATCAAAGCCGACTGCATTGGCCCTCTGGAAACCGGTGGGCGTCGCCCTCCAACGACGACCTCGCAGGGCGGCGACCTCCGCGACGGCGGGGCCCGCCTCGCATGGCAGCGCCGCCGCCGCGGCGTCCTGGATGGGCGCCAGCAGCGCGGGCACGGCGCCCAGGCGCCTGGCGGGGGGGGGCGCGGCGTGTTCCTCCTCCTCATCTCGTCTTGCAGTATTTCGTGTAACGGCCTTTTTCTGTGGGATCGTTTTGCAATGTTTCGGACAATGGTCATTACCGGGGCGGACAGGTTAGGGCCCCAGGTAATGGTAACGCTTGGGCGACAGGTGCGCTGCGATCGCCTGAGTACGGACGCGAAGACCAGCATGCGATGAGGGGGTTGAGGCCGCTACCGTTACCCATGGGATGGTTTGGGGGTTCGGCCGGGGAAGCGACCGTTACATGCAACTTTTATATATATATATATATAATATATATATATATATATATGTAAATATATATACATTTATATATATATATATACATATGTATGTATGTATGTATGTATGTATGTATGTATGTATGTGTGTGTATGTATGTATGTATGTATGTATGTATGTATGTATGTATGTGTGTATGTATGTATGTATGTATATATGTATGTATGTATGTGTGTATGTATGTATAATGCATGGAATCTCGTGGTGATGGGGCCACGCCTTTTACCAACATGCCAGACACTCCCCTCCGGCGCATCAGAACCTGAGCCGACATGGCCGGAAATGAGGGGAAAAGAGGCAAACACTGGGCACAACCACTCGACACCTCCTCCTGCTCAGCGCTTCGCCAGAGATCCAGCAGGATGCTGGCAGACGCCCAATCTTGATCAGGATGAAGGTCAGACACTATAGCAATCCACTCGGACCGCGCCTGATGTTGCCACGCCGCTCTGTCGCACGAGCGCCCTGGGCATGCCCACCAATCGGCCTGTTGCTGCCCTTCTCCCACTGCTATATGAGAGGCCTGCGCAGCCTGCCATGAACTCTGACTACTGCAGCAAAAAGGCTATGATCCGAAGTCCTCCATCAGCTTTGGAAATGAAGGCCATCTTGGTGATGAAGCTGGGCAAGGTTGCCTGCTGCTCGATGGCCATGATCAAATCTATGAGAGCTTCAATGCCCTGGTTATCCAACACATTGAATTCGCTCGAACGAGTGCGGTCAAATTTGGACCCAGATTGTGGCTTGAATGACGACATCATTTTCCGCAGCTCTGCCACATATGGCCGATCGGGGCGCTCTCCGTAGTCTCCGGGCGAATGCAGACGGCGCCTGGCGGCGTGCTCGGCCTCTCGAGGGGCTGCCGCAGGAGGCCTCGAAAGTCCTGGGGGGGGGGGGGGGGGGGCGGCCATAGGGCGCTCGCCGAGCTCCCCCCCCACCGCCCCCCGCGGCTGCGGATCCCGCCCACGCTGCCCGAGGCAGCGGCGCGATCCCCGCGGCGCCGACAGCGACCCCCGAACGGGTTTCCGCGGCACTCGGAGGGCCCACGGGCCTCACGACAGCCACTTCCTCCACTGCGCCGGCCTGGCTCGGGGCAGGCGCGACCGCGTCCCAGTGCGTCGCCCACTCGTCGGCGAGGGCCTGGAGGCTCTGCTGCACTGTCAGCGGCGCCTCGCCGTCCGCCTTGGGCGGCGGCGCAGTCCGCGATTGCGCCAGCTTGGTAACGGCATGGATGCCGCCCGAGCCCGTCGCCACCGAGTCAAGCACCCAGTCGTTGTACTTGCGCCGCGCCTGCTCGAGGTCAGCAATGACTATGGCCTCGGACCAGGAGAAGCGGGCTGTGCTCAGGATTTCGAGCTGGCCCAAGGAGATGCCCTGAGCTCTGCTGCCGGCGACGCCGATCACGCCTTGCAGCTCGAAGAGGCTGGGCGGAGGGTTGCTCGACATGCGCTGGGGTACCTTCACGGCCCCCATCCTGGAGAGCGGCTTGTCGATCTGTGCCGCGTCGCGAAGGCAGATGGCGATCGACCCGCACCGTGCCACCGCTCTCGTGACCCTCGGCAGCCTCGGAGGCGACGGGGCTGTGGCTGACGTGACCACAAGCCTGGGACGATCCGCTCTCCCTGCGTACCTGTCGAGGTCGTGGATGGGCCCGCGCGCGTCGGCCACGTTGACCTCCGCCTGCCTGGCGAAGATCCGCCACGTGCTGCCCAGGTCGCTGGCCCGATCGAGCAGGTCGCGCGCCGCAAGCCATCCTGGGGCGCGACCCCTGGCAAAGCAGGCCAAAGGCCTGGGTGGCGGAAGCCGCTTCGCTGAGCGCATGACGGCGCCGCCCCGGTGCCTGCCTGGCCCGCGCAGCTCGAGCGCGACGGGGAAGCGCGGGCTGAGGTCGAGCCCGGGAATGACACTGGCCTTGGCCCCTCGGAAGAGCCTGGTACCACGAAGAAATCGATGCTGTGGCCCGCAGGCCTGCACGTAGGCTCCGCGGGAGCCGCGACGACTGCTTGGGCCGCCTCTAGCCAGCCCGATTCTGCTAAGACGGACGGCGCCACGTTGAAATCGCCGCGGACCACGAACGGCTTGCTGGCCGCGTGCAGGGCCCTGAGCACTTCAAGCAACGTGTCGGCGTTGCTCCTGTTGAGGCCGACGCTGACCTCCAAGTAGAGGTTGACCCAGGCGACGCAGCCACGGCAAACGCCGCTGGCGCGAGAGATGATAGCGCGCCCAGGCACCAGCACGGACGGCTTACCGAGCAGCTCGAAAGGCCCGAGCCCAAGGTGGTGAGGCACCATTTGGACAAGCCCTCCGCTGCCCTGGCGCCCTGGTCCAGCGTTGATCGCTGGCGCTGCTTCCGAGACCCATCCGAGCCTGCGGAGCTGCCCTTGAAAGTCACGCGCCCACTGGGCGTCGAGGTGCGTCTCCTGGACCGTGGTCGCGCCTATAGGAGCTGGGAAAAGCGCGACCAGGCATTGCACTGTGCGGCGAGGCCCATCCACCAGAGCCCCGCCTGTGCACCTGCCCTCTTGGGCAGCAAAGAGGAGTGATTACCGCCAAGCCCAGCGCCGGGCCGCTTCTTCTCGTTCTCGTCCGCTGCGCTGCCCAAGAGGCCTCTCCTGCCACGAACTTGTCGAAATCGTATTCGGCCTCGCCAGTACCTGCGCACCCAGCCGCTCCAGCTGCCGGCCCAGCGGCTGGAGCGCCGTTGCCGCCTGGCACTGGAGAAGGTCCTGCTGCAGCCGCCAGCTCGCCAAAGAGAGCCGAGAGGCTGGCCGAGACCTCTGCCCCCGACTCGCCCCCTTCCGCGGGGGCGCCCGCAACCTTCTCCTTGACCTGGCGGAGCGTCTCCTCGGCCGCGGTGGAGGAGTAGAGCTTCGCTGCCTGCTTCTCGGACACCTCGAGCTCGGCCTCGCGCTCGGCAAAGGCCCGCTCGGACTCGACCAACGCCTCCAGGGGCATGCGAGAGTTCTCGAGAAGGCGCGCGCTTGGCGCCGGCGCCTGCCACGGCCAGCGACGCTGCGTCCACGGCCAGGGATTGCTTCCGAGCCTGCGAGCCCAAGACCCCAGCGGCAGCCTTTCGGCGGGCCAGCTCGACCTTGTCTCGGCTGCTCTTGGAGAGCTGGTCCCTGGCGATGTTGTGAGACTCTATGGCCATCGCTGCGTAGGCTGCGATCTTGTCAGCCGAGAGGGTGAGAGTCGCGGGATGCGAGAACTCTCCGTCGACAGGCCCGAGCCCTTTGCCCCCGCGGCCTCCACGTCGGCTGCCTTTGCCGCGCTGTTGCATCCACGGGGCGCCAGTCTTGCCACTGCCGACATGCCACGTTTGCCCCATGGCTTTGGGCTGCCGCCACCTGCTGCTGGAACGTCGCAGTCCTTCTGGGAGCCCCTGCAGCCAGCCTTGAGACAGAGTGGGAGATGCTGGGGCGCATAGCCACCGCAACGCACGCACTGCCAGCACTTCGCCATGAGATCGGGAAGGGGAAAAATCAACCCTTGATGCGAGCGCAACCCGGGGTGAAGGGTCAAAGAAAATTAGACGCGCAAGCCCGGGTTAATCCCCTCGAGAATGACACGTGCAACCAGAGGCGAAGGTTTCTCCAGACATCGAAAAAAACAGCGCACGAAATATGCGCAACCACACGCGAATTCCATAATGAGTGCAAACCGGGGCGGCGGTTTCGTGGGGGACAACAACGCGCGCCCCAGAAAGCGCTCGCAGCTGGGGTCGAACGTTTCTGGCTCTCTGGTGGGAGCCAGAGGGCCCGCAAGAGCAGCAAGACACGAAGGGTGACTGCGCGCCCTCAGGCCGAGGGAGGCAGGCGAAGACTGGGGGTGGACCTGGCTTCACGAGAACTTGAATCGCGAGCTCAGGGAACAGCGCCATCCCGTCGTTGCCAGGATGCTGCCAGCCCCCCGAGCATGGAGCTTTGAGCCAAACTGGCTACGGAGTGCGAGCTGGACCTTCGGTGGAGCCCGCTGCGGGGCCGCGGAGCGCGTAACGGCCGCGCCCAAATGAGCGGGAGCCGCGCGTGGACTTTGCCACGGGGGCCTTCGGTGGAGCCACCTATGGACGCACGGCGCGCGCGAAGGGTGCGCAGGGCAGGTTGGCGAGCGGTGGCCAGAGGTGGGGTTTGGAGGAAATAGGCGCAATGCCAGAATGGCCCCTGCACGGCGGCCTCTGCGCGTCACCATCGATGTTAGTTTGTTTTGATTTCTCCGATACACCACATGAGCGACGTCTTGACGCGCAATCTGCAAGATCAATTCGAGCAGAAGACGCGTTCACCTGTCTCCACTCTGAAGCCGCGATCGAATCAATATGAAACGTATCTCCCCATGCATGCGTAGACGGAGCTTGACGCGTGGATGCCTGTTCCCGCCGCCTGAGAAGGCGGGCCACCAGCACGAGCGGCCGCAAGGGCGAGCGCGTGCAAGCGCGCGAGGAGCGCGGAGGATTAGAAGGCAACTGCTGACATCACTGACGCAGAATAAAACTGCACCGGTCAAGCCCTGTTGGCCGAAAGACTCTGCACTCCCAGCCCGACTCTCAGAATCAACGCCGACCGAAATCAGCATAACTCGCTAACGCGCCTCAGTTCACTCATCCTGATCCGCCAGAGTATCATGAAACAGCCTTTTACCTGACAGAGCCAATTACAACCATCAACTGAAACTTCCCCGCGTCCGTCGCGCTCTCGGTCAGCTGCTTCTTCCGGGTAACCAGGATCCCGATATGTTCGACGTTCATCACGTAGTGTTCCTGACCGAGCATGGGCAATCTGCCCTGGAAGTGTCGAGTCCGAACTCCAAACTGGGAAACCTCGGCGACTTCCCACTCGGCCTACTTCTGCCCTCGCCCCAGGTCCTCGCGGCACTTGGCCCATCTCGGATCTTCGACTCGACTGGCAAACTGGAAGCCGTCAACACGCCAAACTGCCATGGCCACCAGCTCGCCACCGCCGTCGTCTTGCTCGGTGAACTGGCACGGTCCCGACTTCAAAGACCGCCACTCAAACTGATCGAAAATTTCAAACACCGTGAGCAACCATTCGACCAGAACTCCCACAAGTCCATATGATGACTTCTTGAGTCGTGCCGCATCTCCTGGGTTGTTTCCCATGGTTTGGGCATGTTCTGGCACCGGCGCGGCGCAGGACTGCTGACCTATCCACCGCGATGTAGTATCGTTCGAGCGGGGGCGGCCGCATGGAAGAACACCAGTCTGGTCAATACCGATGCCGTTAGTGCCGACCGCGGTCGTTCAAACCGATGAAGATCGTGAAATCCGATTACCACGATCCGTCCGTTCGCCTCCTCACCGCCCAAGAGGGCATCGTCGTCCATCCGCGCGAGCACCCGGCAGATCTTCGCGCACCGTTCGGGCGGCAACTTGAAACCACCAGGGAGCCACCCCAGAAACAACTGCTCGATGTACTGGCTCCCTGACCTCGATCTGCCCTGTCTTCGCCCTTTATTCGATCCCTCGTCGACGGCAAATGCCGCGTAGTCTCGAAAGGCAGACTTGCGGCGGCTCGCTCGTGCTGGTAGGTCAACTTTAATATCAGCCGCCATCGCCTCGTCGGCCCAGTAGCTCGGCTCTAGCATGAGGTCGTCATCGCCATCTCGCTGGAGCCGCCTGGATTCGTTCTCGTCCCCAGTCGGCAGCAGCACGCGTAGCCCCTCGGGGCTGCATGCCAACATTGCGTCGTCGTTTCGTGTCACGATCGTCCGCTGCCGTCGGTGGCTCTCGGGGTCGTGGAGAAGCTCGCTGTCATTGCTCAACTCTGGGATGAATGGCCGCCTCCTCGCACTCCTCCCCGGATGGTTTCTCGTGAGCAATGTCGTCTACAGCACCTGGGGTGAGCTCCTGGCTGAACATCTCTGAGAAAGCCCATGGCGTTCTCCCCGCTCGGACCCCCGCTGGAGGCCACCTGTCCCCCTCTACGACGCTGGTATCAGCTGCTCGGCCGCGCGTCGCAACGATCTGCCTCCGCACGCGATCCAGACCGCCCCAGCTGGCCGAACCTGATGCGGATCTCGATGCGTCTCGGTTCCAAGGATTCTCCCTGAGCCCCAGAAGCGTCCTCTCACGCCATGCTCAACAATGTCACTCTTGCCGGCGGCAGGCTCGAATTTCGCAAGTATTCGACTTCTGCTGTTGCGGGCCCTGGTCTCCCGTTCCTGGAAGATGGCGCTGATGGCCGCGTGCTCGGCCTGCCCCGGTAGGGCCCCGTAGCGTCCATGATCGCTGGCGAGTCCTCTGACTGAAATTATCCATCGCGCGCCAGTCTTCTTCCCAGAGCCCGCTGGATCGGCGAATAACGTCTCGCCAATTCCTGACAAGTGAGCGCAACCACCGCTCTACCGAAAATCTCATGCATGAGTCTTTCAAGATGCGTGCGAAGCGATTTCGTCATCGTCGTTTCGAGCAACTTGATCGCCGCCTCAGCCAGGCGGAGTTGCCAGCGAGCTTCGCCAGGGATGGGCGTCAGCTCCACGCTAAGGCTCGCCAGAGTCTCGTCCACGTAGGTGCTCATCGTCGACTTCGTCGCCCCCTCAGGATCCACTAGCACCGGAAATCGAAAGAACTTCGCCCGGGCCCGGTCCTCCAAGGAAAGCCCCATGATCTCCTCTGCCGTCGCGTTGCTGTGGTCGTGGTCGTCACCGCCGCCGTCGCCGTCCCCGTCTCCGTGGTGTCCGTCGTGGCAGGCGTGGTCGTAGTCGTTCGTCGTGGTGGTGGTCGCCGTCGTCGTCGCCGCAGCCGCCGTCGCCGTCGTGGTCGTCGTCGTGGTCGTGGTCGTGGCGCGGGGCGCCTCAGCTGCGCCCGCGCCAGCGGCGCCTCGAGCAGCTGCGCGAGGAGCTGGCCAGCGAGTGCCTCGTAGACCTCCTGGCCAAACAGTGGCAGAGGGCAGAAAATCGTGACTTCGTCATCCTCCTCATCCTCCTCCAAGACATGACCTATTCATTGATCCTCCTCATCCTCTCCAATCCGAGCCCTTCTCCTGCACGCCCACCTCCATCCCGACTTCTATTGTAGAGGGCAGGAACTCCACCCCGAACCACCGCCGACACGCGAAGCCGTTTCGCAAACGCACCCAAAGAAGGAATCGAACAGGGCAGGGCTGTCCAATATCTAGAAAAAACGCCAATGGCCGTTCAGTAAACGCCAATGGTCTGGTCCAGGTGGGTTTTCCTCCCTTGACAGTTGGGGGAGGGTTGCAGCGGCCACGTCGGTGCGGCCGTCGCCACCGTCGCCGCCTCGGCTCTCGGCGTCGCCGTCGTCCTGTCCGCCGTCGACGAAGACGTTGCCGCAGTCGCATCTGTCGTGACAGTCCTGGTCTTCGCCGTCATCGTGGTAGTCGCCGACATCGTCGTTGTGGTGGCCTGCGTTGCCTCCGTCGTCATCGTCGTCGTCGCTGTCACCACTACCGTCGTCGCTCTCACCTTCGACACCGTCATCTTCGTCACCGTCGTCATTACCATCCTCGTCGTCTTTGATTTTGTCGTGATCGTCTTCGTCGGCGTCGTCGTCGCCATCGTCGACGTCTTTGCCTTCGTCGCCGTAGTTGTCGCCTGTCAAGCAGATGGAGGAATAAAGATGATGTTGACAAAGGCGAAAGAGGAAGAGGAGGACAAAAGGCAAGGGAGGAGAAACAAGAAGGGACGAAGGAGCAGAACATATGAGGATATCCTCCCGTCTGCCGCCTGGAACTCCTCCTCCTTCTCCTCCACCCCCTCCTTCTTCTATTGTGTTGCAGCTTCCCGTCGCGCCGCGATCCACGCCGAATCCGTGTCGAATCTGTGCCGAGCGCGTCGAATCCGTGTCGAATTCCTGTCGAATCCAGGTCGAATTCGCGTCGAACTCACGTCGGAGTAGAAGAGAAAACTATAATTTACAAAACAAGAAAGGTCCCGGGGAAGTGCAAAATAACTCTTATCCCCCCTTCCAATCCTCCTCCTCCTCCTTGCCCTCCTTCTCCTCGACCTCTTCCACCCATTCGGCGACGCACCTCCTCCGCATCCTCTTCCTCTTCCTCCTCCTCCTCCTCCTGCTCTTTGGCTTCCTCCGTCGACTCCTCCAACCGCACTTTGAAGACAGTCCTCCTCCTCCTCCTCCTCCTCCTCCGCCTCCTCCTCCTCCTCGGCGGCCTTCTCCTCCCCAAACCGCCTCCCCCGCGCCCACCTCCGCCTCCGGGCCCCCCTCGGGGGCGCGAGCAGGGGCAGGAGGCAGGGGGACAGGGGCGGGGAGAGCGGCGCGAGGAGGAGGAGGCAGAGCAGGGGAGGGCGCGGCGAGCAGGAGGGCGGGGACAGCTCCACGTCTGAAGGGGCCCTGGGACACACAAATCAATAGACACAAATAACAGGATTCCTGCTATATATCTGCCCGTATTTTCTGGGTTTTGCCTTCCCCCCACTTCCCATATTTCCCCATATTTTCCTTGGAATCGACGATTCACTGTGTCTGTGTTTGTTCCCCTCCTGAACGTCTCCCGGCGGGCATGCAACAATTCTAGCCTCCTGGGGCCCTCCTTCTTAGGACGTGTTCGGGGCCTCCTGAGCCGCATTGAAACTAGATTCGGGCGTCTTCGGCCCTTGCCATCGCTCGGACGTGCACTCCTCATGCATTTGTCGGCTTCGTGCGCGTATTCTTCGCAAGAGGATCTCAGATGCTCCTCCATGGTCTCCGCCGAGAAAAACGCACACGCCCGAGCGATGCCCCAAGGGCCGTGTCAGGCCGCCCTGGTCGCTTTTGGGTGGCCCCCTGAGCTTCTCTGGGCGGCGGAGGGATGCCCGGGAGGCCCCGGAAAGGGCCATGAAATGCCGTGGGCCAAAAGGTGAGGTGGGGAATCCCGAAGGATGTCCCGGCCCTGGCCCTGGGCTCCCGGCACCCCAGCATATGCATATTCAACACACACAACACACAACACACACACACACATATGTGCACATGGATGTATGCGACTATGTATATATGCGCATACATGAACATTTACAGTCACAGTTACAGTTACATTTACATTAACACATGCATATACAAATACGTATACATATTCATGTACATAAACATATACATATACATATACATATACATATACATATACATATACATATACATATACATACACCTAGACATATACATATACATATACATGTAACTATAAATATACATCTGTATGTGTATATATGCATATGCGTACGCATAGAACTTTACATATGCATATACCTATACATATGCATGTACACATAAATATGCATATGTCTATACATATACATGTGCATATACATGTACACATGCATATGCATATATATATATAGGTATGTACATATACACAAACATACACATATACATAGACATACGCATACATATATACATTTACATGCACATCTACATATACGTTTATGTGTGTATATATGTGTATACACATACATCTACATCTACCTATACATAAACATATACATTTACATCTACAAACACACACATGCATACTCTTGTACAGCTACAGCTACAGCTACGTCTACATCTACGTCTACATATACCTATACACACATGTACACATATACATATACATGTACATATACATATACATGCACATACACATATACATATACATATATATATATACACATACACATACATACACATACCCATATACATATACGTGTACATGCACCTATACACATACAAATACAAATAGCTATATTTTTTATATACATACACATCTTCGTATACATTTACAGATGGAGACATATGTATACATATCCATGGAACAAACAAGAACGCGTATATACATATATATGTGTGTAAATGTGTGTATATATATACATAATTGACGGGGTGTGTGGTGTGTATATATATATATAATTGACGGGGTGTCTGGGGGGCCTCACCGGGCCCCGGAGTCCCTGACTGCCCCGTACGCTGCATTAGCGTCACGTCCCACTGTGTATGTTGACTGTCTCTCTGAACGGAGCGTACCCCACAAGGAGTCCACCGACAGCCCCGAGCCCAAGGTTCGCATCCCGCCGCCCGCCCATGTCGGCACACGTCTGACCTGGATCGTGAGGTCGGGGCGTCTTGGGTGCCTCTCGGGGCCTCGCGGCGTGTTTCTCAGGGACCTCTTGAAGCCCTGAGATGGATCGTGAACTGGGGCCTCTCTAGGAATGCCGTGCAAGATGTAAACACGAGACGCCTCATACGCTTCTGGGGGCCTATTGGGAGGCCTCCTGGGAGCTTCCAGGAAACATTTAGCGAGCATGGTGGGGCCTCCTGGGGATCCCCTGGGGAATCCAGAGGCCTTTTCGGGGTCCCTCGGGAGCCCCTGGGGGCCTCTTGGAAGCGTCCTGGGGGTTTCCCACAAGATGTCGGGGGCATATTGGGAGCCGCACCCCCGAAGATAGTGCCCAATGACCCGTTTGGGCACCATCTTGGGACTCCCTTGGACCGTCTTGGGGTCCTCTTGGGCCGTGTTTGGGGCCTCGTAAGCGATCCTGGAGCGTCCTTCAGCGCCTCTTGGATCGCCTTAGAGACTGTCAAGACTGGAAAAGCGAATATACTGAAAATATTGTTTTCAGCATGGGATGAAACGATTTGTTGCCTCATGGGGCCCCTGGGGGGGTTCCTTGAAGACCTCTTACGGGGCCTCTAGGCGCGTCTTCAGGCCGTCTGGGGGCGTCTCGGGTGGCGCCGGAGCGACCCAGACGCAGTGCTGGACGGTCGTGGTCCAGTCTGGGCAGCGTTTCTTCAGCTGTCCAGGAGCCCTCGGGCCGCCCCCGTGGGCCGCCTGGGGCCCCCCGCGGCCCGCCAAAAATAGACGAGCGCGTTCCACTACTCGCAAAGTAACTGCTCGCAAATGGCCTGGTTCCGCCGCGGGGGATCTGCGATGACTTATGTCGAAGCAGACATGTGTTCTCCGGACGCTTGCGAGTGGTGGAACGCACTCGGTCACAAAAGCCGCGCACCAGAGCCCACTGAGTAACTACCAAGCAATCGGGACCGAACCCACCGCGTCCCCCGACGGTGGTCATAGTTGGCTGCATCATGTGTCACGGTGATGCTGTCCTGGCACGTCTGGCAATTGTGATCTGGCAATTGCGTACCCAATTGCACGTCTGGCAATTGCGTACCCAATTGGGACCTCTGGCTGGGAGTTGCCCACTCCCAGCCAGAGGCCCCTCTGGCGTCTGGCCGGCGGCGCTGCTCGAGGAGCTGCGGCCCGCCGCGAGCCTCGCGCCGCCCCGTCCCTGCCGCGCCTTCCTGCGCCTCGCCCCGGGGTGGGCGGGGCCCCAGGTGCACCGCCGCCACGGGGCCCGAGGCAGAGCGGGGCCGAGCCGGAGCAGGAAGCGTGCCCCCCGCAGGCCCACGGGCGGCAGCGCGGCGGATCCTGGACAGGCGGCGGTCGGGCATGTTCCCCTGCAGGCGGATTCGGCAGGGAAATCCACAATTATATATAGTCCAAACATACCCCACACAAGAACCAAAAATTATCGAACAAATCTTCCCCTGACTGCTGTTTCGCCACTTTTGGACACTCCCCCTGCATGCAGGGGGGCACGCCCGACCTCACGGTGGGCCCACGAGCGGCCGCGGGGCGCGTACTGGACGGGCCCACCCGGCGCGGAGGGCGCCCACGCGGGCCCCCCACGGCCGGGCACGAGGGCGGCAGCGCGGCGAACCCCCGACGGCCCCGCCCAGCGAGCGGGGCGCCCACCGGGGCGCCCACGGGCGGCAGCAGTCGGCGACTCGGCGAAACGCCCACAGACCCACCCAGGTCCTCAGGGAGGGGGAGGAGGAGGAGGAGGAGGAGGAGGAGGAGGAGGAGGAGGAGGAGGAGGAGGAGGAGGAGGATGCGGAGGCGGAGGCGGAGGAAGAGGAGAGGAGGAGGAGGAGGAGGAGGAGGAGGAGGAGGAGGAGGAGGAGGAGGAGGCGGAGGCGGAGGAGGAGGCGGAGGCGGAGGCGGAGGCGGATGCGCAGGCGGCAACTGAAGAGCAAGCACTGTGTAAGGAACTGAACTAAAAAATAGACGGTGGCGTGGCCGATGGAGGCGACGAGGTTGACGACAACAAGACACCGACGACGACAGCGACGCCGACGCCGACGACGCGCCGAACAAGACCACGGCGGCAACGAAGCTGCCGACGAAGACGGCGGCGACGACGACGACGACGACGACGACGACGACGACGACGACGACGACGACGACGCGGCGGCGGCGACGACGACGGCGGCGGCGGCGGCGGCGGCGGCGGCGGCGGCGGCGGCCTCGCCGCACGTCGCCAGCGCCAGGCAGCGCGGCAGCAGCGCCGCCCGCGGCGCCAGCTCCGCCAGCGGCGCGGGCGGCGACGCGGCCCCGCCGGGCGCGGTGAAGCGGACGAGGGCCTCGAGGGCGCACCTGGCGGCGCGAGAGCCCCGAGGGCCCCGAGGCCCTGGACGGCATCCAGGAGCCTCGCGAGCTTCGTGGGCCTCGGGGAGCCCCGCGGGCCTCGAGGGCCTCGCAGGTCCTCGAGCCTTCAAGGGCCCAGGCGGCCTCAGAAAGGCCCCGAGGGCCAGGGAAGCTCCTCGACGGGCCCCGAGGGCCTCGGGGGCCCTGGGGGCCTCGGAGGGCCTCGCCGGGGCATCGAGCGCACACGTGGCACCGCGCCTTCGTCGTCGCCTCCTCCACCTTCTCCTCCCCCTCTTCCACTTCCTCCTCCTCCTGCCCTACTGCTCCCTGTTCCACCCACTGCTCCTCCCATCCCCCTCCTCCTCATCTCAATCATCCTGTTCGTCCTCGTCATCCTCCTCCCCCTTCTCGTTCTCCGCGTCCCTCGCGTCCTCCACATCCTCCTCTTGCTCGTCCTCGTCCTCCTCCTCCTCCTTCTCCTCCTGCTTCTCCTCCTGCTTCTGCTCCTCCTGCTCCTCCTGCTCCTCTTCCTCCTTCTCCTCCTCCTGCTGCGACGAAGACGAAGACGAGGACGAGGACGAGGACGAGGACGACGACTCGAAGACGCCATAAACGACGCCGACGGCGGCGCCGTTGTCGGCGGCGGCGGCGGCCCCCCGCTGCGCCTGAGCACGAGCAGGTCGCTCCCGCCGCCCGCCACCAGGCTCGCCTTCGCCCCCCCCCCCTGCGCGCCCTCCCCCCCCCCCGCCGGGCAGGCCTCCTCCTCCTCCTCCTCCTCCTCCTCCTCCTCCTGCTCCTCCTCCTCGTCTCCTCTTCCTCCTTCTCTTCTTCCTCCTCATCCGCCCATTCCTCCTCATCCCTTCTGCGTCCTCCCCGGCGGGGCCCCAGGGAGAGGAGGAAGAAGAGCGGCGAGCGACGGCGAGCGACGGCGGAGAGGTCTGGAGCCTCTCGTGGAGCGCCGTTGGGGCGCTGTGGGCCACGCGGAAGCCGTCCAGGGCGTCGGGGTCCGGCTCTTTGTGTCTCGAGGCCCTCTGGGGCCGTCCGGAGCACTCCTTAGGATGGGCGGGAAAACATGGGCCCCCCCTGCGCTGTAGTGGCACCAGCCCCAGTCCCCCGGGCCTCGAACCCAGGTGATGTTTGTGTACTTCTATATCATATACACATGCCTACCCACCTACCTACCTAGCTGCGTACATACCTACCGACCTACCTACCTACGTATATACAGACATGCACGCATGCTAGCCTCGATGAGTTAAAGTTCTTGCGACTGGTGGCCACTTCCCACCAATGCCTCATTGTCGACAGTGCCCGACGCAGCCTCTCCTCGCACCGCTCGCGCGTCCCTGGCCGCAACACACGGCCTCCAAGCAGAGCGTCTAAGCTCATCTGCCACGGATGGTGATACCAGCGCGGGGATGCCCCCGCAGCAGACGGGAGACGCGCGTCGACGGTGGTAGAAATCTGGAGCGGGTTTCGGGCCTCCGAGAAATACACGCACGGCCAATGACAAGAGAGGCATGCAACAAGAAATATTGCACAAGATCTGGGCTCCGAAAAAATAAATGTAGTCTCCGACTTCCTATGCCGTTTATTTCAATGGCTCGGCATGACTCGACCTCCCCATTGCCCAGCTGAAAACTACAAGCGACCAGAGCAACCCGCGGACTCTCGACGCACTGAACAAGAATCCGGGCGCATCAGACAATTGCCAACCTCTAACATGCCAAACTAGGTTGCGCCACAACAAGATCGCAGGGCCTAGAACGAAACAACAACTTGTTTGTTGTTCACGGCACGTAAGATGAACAACAACTCAGACGAGCAATGGCCACGCTGACGAAATGGGGAACAAGCACCTTCACCCCTCGACTCATCCAACTAATCCTTATCTCGAATTGTGAGTCACATTGGCGGGCGTGACCTCGCAAGCCCGGGTTGGCCAGAAAGTCTTTTTTTGTATTGCACCAGAAGAGAAGCTCGGACAACACACGCGCACTCTTCATGAATATGGCTCTGTCTGGGAATAACTATATATATATATATACACACTCCTGCCTCTGGAGATGTTTTTCTCTCTCTCTCTCTCTCCCTCTCTCCACACCTCTCACATACACACACTGCACGTTTTCCAAACCTTGCTGTGGTCTTGGGCCCTCGTGCCGAATCCGCAGCGCCACGCGTTCACTCCGCCCCCCGTCCCCCCTCCCACCCCTGCCTCTGCCCTCCGCATTTCGACACACCCTCACTCGTTACATGGTCCCATCGAGAGCTCCACCGAAGGCCCCAGTGGCAGGGCTCGCATGCGTACCCGCCTCTACTTCGGCACACCCCTCACACGCTTCGTGGCCCCATACGGAGCTCCACAGAAGGCCCTCCCCGCGGCGCCCCCTGGAGTCCCGTGGCGTCCCCTGAACTCCCTTCGTGGCGCCCCCCGATGGAATACTGTAAAATCCGATGGGCCCCTGAGACGCCTTCATTTGGCCATCGCTCGGACGTCCATCCCCCGTGCATTTTTGTCGGTTTCGCGCGTGCCTTTTTTGCCAGGTGGCCCAGGATGCTCCTCGATGGTCCTCGCCGAGGGAAAGATGCACACGTCCGAGCGATGCCAAGCCTATGGGACCCTCTGGGGTCCTGTGAAGGGCGCCCCGGGCAAGGGCGCGCAGGCTCAACAATGGCATCCCCCAACAGGGGTCGAGCATCTCCACAGCGAAGGTCGGGGGCAGAACAGCAAAAATCAGCAAGGACCAGCCACAAGGATGTTTACAGCGAAATGCCATGCCGCTTACAACGGACAACGGAACGAGGCCCAACGTTCTAAACGAACGTTCCCACGACGCCGGTGCCAAACGAAAACGAACGACGAAACGGGGCGGTCAAAGCAACAACGAACAACGAAACGAAATGACAACAAAAGACGAAACGAAAACAAACAACAAGGGCCCAAACCAAGCTGGTCAGCGTTGTGGTCGGTCTCTGAAAACCAGGCAGTCGTGATGCAGTGGTTAAGGCGTCGCCTAGTATCCAAGAGATACTGGATACTGGGCTCGGTTCCCGACACGACCTCTCGGGCGCCAAGAACATTAGAACTCCTTAAATCCTTTGGGTCCCCCCTCGTCATCGTCGTCTTTTTAGTCGTCGTCGTTTTCGTCGTCGTCGTCTCCTCCCTCCTCCGTCACCCCTCCTGGGCGCCAAGAGCATGAGAACTCCTTAGAATCCCTTGGGTTCCCCCTGCGGGACCCCCTGGAATCCCGTGGGATCCTCGGGGCCCCCTGCGCGGCTCTGGCATCGCTGGGGCCCCAAGAGGGCCTGCGGAATCCCTTGCAGTCTGTTCCGTGCGCGTGCTCAGAGAGCATCTGGGCTCCGAGTTCGGGAGGCCCTCCGAAGCGATCTGAGGCTTTCTGGGACCCAACAGCAATCCCGTGGACTCCTTGGAATCCTAGGGATTCCTTGGGAACCTTCTGGGGCCCGGAGGTGGTGTCAAGACCACCGGAATCAGATTGCTGTCGTCCTGTGTGGCTCGGGCAGCTTTCTCGCCTGCTCGCGCTCGGCGCCCTGCTCCCGACCATGCCCAGAGCGCTGCAGAACTGCCCGGCAGGGCGCGGGCCATTTTTGTCGACAGCCCGCGCTCGGCGTCCAGTTCTGGAGGTGCCCGCGCCCGCCCAGGGCGCCGGCTCTGCAGCGCTCGGACGCGGGCAGAGCGCGGGCAACATTCTCGTCTGCCCGCGCTCGGCGTCCAGGTCCGGGGGCGTTCGACGCCGCTCAGAGCGCCAGTTTTGTAGCGCCCTGACGCGGGCAGGACGCGAGCAGTTTTGCTCGGCTGCCCGCGCGCGGTGCCCAGTCCTGGGGCGCCCGACCCCGCCCAAGGCAGCAGTCTTGCAGCGCTCTGGCGCGGGCAGGGCGCGAAGAATTCTCTCCGCTGCCCGCGCTCGGTGCTCAGGCTGGCGGGCGGCCACAAGGGGGGAAGCGGGGGCCACATGCTGTGCACAACCGAAACCCTTGCGAAGGGCACAGAGGAAGCAGCGAATGAGGTGCTCCCGAGCGCCCGAGGGACACAGAACAACTGCGCAGGGACAAGACGCCGCAGACGTCGACACGAGACGACGGCGACGGACACGAAAACGACGACGGCAGCGAAGGGCGACGACGAGCGACGACAGCGACGACGAACGAGGAGGGACGACGACGACGACCAGCGAACACGACAACCAGCGAGGACGACAGGCACGACCGACGAGCGACAGACGACCGACGAGCGACGAGGAGCGACGATGTCGGCGGCGGCGACGGACGGCCCACGGCAAGAATGATGGGCCTGTTTTCCACCACCACCACCACCACCACCATAAGTTGGAGGGGGAGGGGGCCCTCCTCCTCCTCCTGCTCCTCCTCCTCCTCCTCCTCCTTCCCCCCTTCAACTTATGGCGGTGGTGGTGGAAAACAGGCCCGTCAAAGAAACGACGAGGAGCGGCGGCTGGGCGGCGGCGACGGACCGACCCGCCCCCACCAGCGGGTCCAGCGCGCCGAGCTTGGCGAGGGCCTCCTCGACGCTGCCCCGGGCGCGGCGGGAGCGCCGAGGGCCGCCGCGTGCTGCCGCCGCGGCGCGCTCGCGCGGGTGCGCGCGCGCACGGAGGAGGAGGAGGAGGAGGAGGAGGAGGAGGAGGAGGAACAGGAGGAGGAGGAGGAGGAGGAGGAGGAGGAGGAGGAGGAGGAGGGGAAGGAGGAGGAGGAGGAGGGGGAGGGAGAGGAGGAGGGGGAGGAAGACGAGCTAGGTGCGCGCGCGTCATATCTGACGTCCTACCCCTCCCTCCCATCCGTTACCATGGCGCTGATTTTCTCTATCCGCGGAATAGTGGGTGGTGGTGCGCGTGCGTGCGTGCGTGCGTGCGTGCGTGCGTGCGTGCGTGCGTGCGTGCGTGCGTGCGTGCGTGCGTGCGTGGTGGTGGTGGTGATGGTGGTGCTGATGCTGGTGCTGGTGCTGGTGCTGGTGGTGCTGGTGGTGGTGGTGGTGGTGGTGGTGGTGGTGGTGGTGGTGGTGGTGGTGGTGGTGGTGGTGGTGGCGGTGGTGGCGGTGGCGGTGGCGGTGGCGGTGGCGGTGGTGGTGGTGGTGGTGTGGGTGTTTGGGTGTTTGGGTGTTTGGGTGTTTGGGTGTTTGGGTGTTTGGGTGTTTGGGTGTTTGTGTGTGTTGTGTGTTTGTGTGTTTGTGTGTTTGTGTGTTTGTGTGTTTGTGTGTTTGTGTGTTTGTGTGTTTGTGTGTTTGTGTGTGTGTGTTGTGTGTTTGTGTGTTTGTGTGTTTGTGTGTTTGTGTGTTTGTGTGTTTGTGTGTTTGTGTGTTTGTGTGTTTGTGTGCGTGTGTGCGTGTGTGCGCGTGTGCTGTGGCATGGCACGGGAAATGACGCCAGCGCTGCAGCGGGAGCACGAGTCGAAACGGGCGGAAGCGCGGAAATGAGGCCAGCGCTGCAGCGGGAGCACGATTCGGAACGAGCGGAAGCACGGAAATGAGGCCAGCGCTGCAGCGGGAGCACGATTCGGAACGAGCGGGGCCCGAAAATGAGGCCGGCGCCTCGGCGAGAGCAGCATTTTGAAAGAAAAAAAAAAAAATGCAGGCGAGAACCCAACTCCCGGGAATCCTGTGTAAAAAAGCAGGACGCGGGGGGGGGTCGGCTACTTTCAGGCCGCCATCGGGGGAAGAGGGAGCGTAGTATTCATATTGAGTAACTGTGGAGGAGGAGGAGGAGAAGGAGGAGGAGGAGGAGGGCGAGGAGAAGGAGGAGGACAAGGAGGAGGAGGAGGAGGAGGAGGAAAAGGAGAAGGAGAAGGAGAGGGAGGAGGAGGAGGAGGAGGGCGAGGAGGGCGAGGAGGAGGAGGAGGAGGAGGAGGAGGAGCAGGCTCCTCCTCGTGTCGCGCCAACGTCGGTCTCCCTCGTCCTGGGGTCGCTCCCCTTTTGGCTGTGCTCCTGGCCACGTGTATACGCGCGCCCCTCCCCCGCGCCCCCTTCGTGCCGCACGCGGATGGGGAGAGGACGAAGAGGTGGGGCCCGTTGATGGTTTCGCTGTCCGGAACAGACACTCTGCAGGTCCAAGGTACAAGGAGAAGTCGGAGGATGAGAAAGACCAGTGTAACACCAAGACAGCACCGATGATGCAACGAACCCTCCCTCCAACTTCCCTCTCCATCAGTGCCAAAACGAACGTACTTACTTTCACTGCGAGAGGGACGTCTCCATTGCAAGACACCCGTCTGAGGACATGGTTCAGTCATGCCACAACACCAGTGCTCAGACTCCAACGCCGCGAAACAGAATCAGTTCTGCGTCCCGGAGACCGGCACTCATGACTCGCGCCAGAGCGCTGTTCCTGGGACTTCAATACCGCGGGCCACCATGACTGCTGCGTCCTGGCACGCATCAATCGCGCCAGAGCACCACCAATGGAACTTCCACCGTACGAATTGTTGAAGCCGCTGTGAGCTTTCAAAACGAAGGCACGCTGAGCCAGAGCTAGAGCCTACGCGTTGGAAAGGAACCGCCCTCCATCCGCGAAACGGCTGCACGAGATTGAGCCGAGCGTGCGCGGCGCGTGGGCGAGAACCACGTTCTGGGAACTAGCCGCCTCAGGCCGTGAATCCTTCTGCAAACATCGAAGACACATGCGCACGGTGCTGAGGCGAGCACCACAGTTTGAAAATCCCCCCCTCCCTGCCGACGCTCAGGACGAATGCAACAGGCGATAAGGCGAGAACCTGTTGCCAACCACCCGCCCCCCCGTCCCCGAAACTCGTGTTGAGCCGAAGGTGCGCGGCGCCAGAACGAAGCCCTCCCTCCTTGAGACCGGTCCAGATCTCAAGCTTCGGGATGACACAGGAGGAAGAAGATCTCTGGCGAAACGCTCGGCCCGCCCCATCCACACGTCTCGGGATGCGACAGGGAGGAGCTAAACAGAGGGAGAAGGGATGGAGGAGGAGGAGAAGGAGGAGGAGGAGGAAGAGCAGGAAGGGGAAAGAGAAGGAGGAGGGGGAGGGGAGGACGAACAAGAGGAAACGGAGGATTCTTCTAGACGCTGTAGCAACACTGCCGAAGCGTTGTCACCGCCGCCGTCGCCGGCCCGTCGACGTCGAGGTCGCTGTCATCGCCGCCGTCCTCATCGTGGCCTTCCACATCCGCCTCCTTCTGCTCGTCGTCGCCCTCTTCGCCTGACCGTCGGCGGTGCCGCCCCCTTCGCCACCGCCGCAGCCGACGCCGCCGCCAACGCCGCCGCCGACCGCCCATCGCCCTCGCCGCCGTCGTCGCCGCCTGCTCATCGGGGCCGCTGCCGCCGCCGCCCTGGCCACCGTCATCGGCGCCATCGGCGCCATCGGCGGCGCCGCCCCGCCGCCGCCTGCTCGTCGCGGCCGCCGTCGTCGCCGCCGGCCCGCCGCCGCCGCCCCGCCGCCGCCTGCTCGTTGCCTGCCCCCCCCGCGCGCGCAGGGCGCGTCCTGCCGCTCGGCCGTGCTCACGTACCGGCTGAGCACGGCCGTGGCCTCCGCGATGCAGAGGCCGGCGACCAGCTTGCCGAGCCTAGCGTCGAGGCCTTCCGCACACGCCGCCGCCGTCGCCGCCGCCGCCGCCGCCGTCGTCGCGATCGTCGTCGCCCTCACCCTCGCCCTCGTCGTCGTCGTCGTCGTCGCCGCCGTCGTCGTCGTCGTCGCCGTCGTCGTCGTCGTAGTCGTCGTCGTCTCGTCGCGACCGTTGTCGGGGGAGGAGGAGTGGAGGAGCAGGATGATTAGGACGGGGGTCAGGCGGGCGAGGGGATCAACGGAAGCGGAGCCTGAGGGTCAGAACCAGCAGCAGCAGGGAGGTTCCGGGGAGGAGGAACCAGAGAAGGAGTAGCAACAAGACACGGATCAAGGAAACGCGGAGGAGGAGGAGGGGAGGGGGAAAGGGGGAGGAAGGAGAAGGGAGGAGGAAACGCTGGAGGAGGAGGAGGAGGAGGAGGAAGACGAACAAGAGAAGAAGCATGCCAGGGGCCGAGGGACGAGGAGAACCGGATGGAGGCAGGCAGGGGAGGACGGGAGGTGCTGGGGCGGGAGGGGCGGCGAGGAGGCAGAGCGGAGCGTGGAGCCACGGGCGACGCGGGCGCGCTGGCTCGCCCGAGGCGGGAGGCGACGGCGGAATCGTCGCCTCGCGGTCGCCGCCGTCACTGCCATCGCCGCTGCGCCAGTCGTCGCCGCTGCCGCCGCCGCCGCGGCTGCCGCGGTCAGCGAGCCCGCCGCCGCCGCGGCGGCAGCGCACGGGGCGCGCGGGGAGGCCCGCCGCCTGTGCCCGCGGAGGCGTCGGCCGCGTGCCCGCCGCCCGCGTCGGCGGGGCCGGTCTGGGCGGCGACGCCGCCGCCGCCGACGTCGGCGAGGGCGCTGCCGCCGCGCGCGGCCGCCGCCGCCAGAAACGCTTCCGTCACCGACGACGACGACGACGACGAAAACAAGTGGCACGCGTGCCCTGGCTCTTGCACATTTGAGGAGAGAAAGAGAGGGAGGAGCATGCGGGGGGCGAGAGGGCCAGGGGATGGGGGGCCAGAGCCAAGGGGACGACGACGAACCACGAACCACGAAAATACAGGGTCCGGGGCGAGGAGGGCTGGGGCCGAAGCCAGGGTCGGGGCGAGTGGGGCCAAGGCCAGGGGACAGGCTGAGTTCAGCCAGGGCCAGAGGCCTGGGGCTCGGACCAGGGGCCAGAGGTCTGGGTTGGGGCGAGGGGGAGCGGGCCACAGCCAGGGGGACGACGACGAACCACGAACCACGAAAATAAAAGGGCCGGGGCAAGGGGGGCTGGGGCCAGGGCCAGGGGACGCCGGGTTCAGGGCCAGGGCAGGACGACGGGGGTGACGGGGCCAGGGGAAGCGGGCCAGAGCCAGGGGGACGGCGACGAACCACGAAAATAAAGGGGCCAGGGGACGCCAGAGCCAAGGGCCAGGGCAGGAGGGCGGACGACAACGAACCACGAAAATAAAAAGGTCTGGGCTCTAGAGCACAACTGTGCAAGAGAAAAAAGATGACGACGACGACGACGACGTCGACGAGGACGCTACCGCGGCACGCGGCCGCCGCCGCCGAGCGCCTCCGCCTCTAACGCCGACGCGGCCGCCGACGACAACGAAATCGAATATGATTACGACGACGACGACAACGACGACGACGACGACGGCGTCGACGACGAGGAAGCACCGACGCGCGCAGATCCCGCCGCCGAGCGCCCCCGCCGCCTACGCAAGCGCCGACGCCAACGCCGCCGCCGCCGCCGCCGACGCCGACGCCGACGCCGACGCCGACGCCGACGACGACGACAACAACAGAAAAACGGCAAAAACGACGACGACGACGAACACGACGACGACGACGACGACGACGACGATGCCGACGCCGCCGCCGCCGAGAATGACAACGACGACGGCGACGAGGACGCTACCGCCGCGCGGGGCCGCCGCCGAACGCCTCCGCCAGAAACGCCAACGCCGACGCTCACGCCGAAGACGACGACGACGGCGACGGCGACGACGACAGCGGCGACCACGACGACGACGACGACGACGACGACGACGACGACGACGACATGCAAAAAAACGACAACGACGACGTCGACGTCGACGAGGACGCTACGGCCGCGCGCGGCCGCCGCCGCCGAGCGCTTTCGCGACCAACGCCGACGCAGACGACGGCGACGCCGAAAATGACAACAACGTCGACGAAAACGCTACTGCCGCGCGCGGGCACCGCCGCCGAGCGCCTTCGCCACCAACCCTGGCGCTGGCGCCGACGCCAACGCCGCCGCCGATGACGACGACGAAGACGACGAAGACGACGAAAGCGAAAGCGAAAGCGAAAGCGAAAGCAACGACGACGACGACAAAAAACACAAACGAGGAACGACAACGACGACGCCGATGACGACGACGACGACGACGACGACGACGACGACGACGTCGACGAGGACGTTACCGCCGCGCGCGGCCTCCGCCACCGATCGCCTCCGCCACCAACGCCGACGCCGACAGTGACATCGACGACGACGAAAACGAACACGAAGACGACGACGACGACGACGCCGACGAGGAGCGACGCGCAGCGTCGCAGCTGACACGCCGATCCTGGCCAAGACCATGGTGGGCCATGGGTCGGCGGGTACGGGGCGGGGGGCGAGGGTCGAGAACGAGGAAGAGGAAAGGAGCGGCGGAGGGGCGAGAAAGAGCGGCGAAGGGGGAAAAAGGACGGGCGAGGGCGAGGGCGAGGAGGACGAGGACGGGGCAGGGGTGTGGAGAAGCGGGGGGCGGCGGGGAAGAGGGCAACGAGCAGGAGCTGGATGAGCCGGAAAAGAGTATGGCAGCGATACGGAACATACATGGATTATACCCCACCCATCCCAACTGCAAAATTGAGCGTCGCTTCAGCGCACTTTCACACGTCTGTCCGGCGGGTCTGATGGAAGTTCTTGCGCCAAGCGCCACGGGGTGCCGCTTCGCGACGGGCTTAGACCCGTGCTGCTGCCTTCCATATAAGGCCAAAGTGCGTACAATGTGACAACCCGGAACAGCGAACCCAGGCGGGCCGAGGGGGCGAAGGCGAGGGCCCGAAGGAAAAGGCCGCGGGAGATGGGCAGTGGGCGGCGGGCGGAGAGTAGCGCACAAGTGTTACGGGGGTTTGAAGCTTCACGGGAGAAGGCATGGCGGCAATCAGCTGTAGACCTGCCAGGTTCCCACTCATCAAGATATTGTTTGCACGCGCCAGCGCTGAAGCCAACTGGCGGCAGAGCATCCCATTTGAATAGGGCTTGCGCGGGCAATCGAACAACTCTTGAAGAAAAGCGGGGTCCAGACCTGGGGCCCGGACATTAGGTCTGGACCTGAAGGTCCGAACCTGGGGCCCGGGACCTAGGGTCCGGACCTGAGGTCGGAACCTGGGGCCCGGACCTGAGGCCCAGACCTGGGGCCCGGACCTGGGGTCTGAGGTCTGGACCTGGGGCCCGGACCTACTGAGATGTCCACAACTAAGTCAAGGTGGTTATGTTGAAGTCGTGGAAGTTAGGTTGGAAGATAGCTAAACAGTCCATCCCCTAGCTTCCCCCCATCTTCAACCACTCTAATTCCTGCAACTTTACAGTTCACAAAAAAACGCTGCGAACACAGATTTTAATGTGTTGGTCAGCCACGTGTTTGTATGTTGTTGCGTTATATCTGCCTCCCTATAGCGTCTCTTGTTGTTTTTGCCCAGCGCTTAGCTCATTGCGCTCCAAACTGAGTTCAATCATGCGCTTCGCGCCCCCTTCGTCTCCTCATCTTTCTCCTCCTTCTCCTCCTTCGCCTTCTCCTCCTTCCAACATACCAAGCTCCTCCTCCAACGTCTCCTCCTTCTCCTCCTCCTCCTCCTCCTCATCATCCTGCTTCTCCTCCTCCTCCTCCTCCTCCTCCTCCTGGAGCCTGGAGCGTGAAGGTCTATATGTCCTCCAGGATGACGAGGAGGAGGAGGAGCTCCCCCTCCCCCTCCCTTTCCACATCCTCCTCCCCCTCCTCCCCCTCCTCCCCCTCCTCCTCCTCCTCCTCCTCCTCCTCCTCCTCCTCCTCCTCCTCCTCCTCCTCCTCCTACCCCATCAACCTTCGTCCCCAAAAAAATGATGGCGTTCAAGATCGACTGAGATGAATCCGGTTTCTGCCCCGACTCCTCCTGACCCCTGCTCCTCGAACGACCGCCACACGAGCAGCCGCCCTGCGAGAGGTTGCCTCCGCAGTCCGAGCAAAACGCCATGATGCCCGGTGCAATAGCAGAGCCTTTGGATGAGGATCCCAAGGGACGCGCGGGACCACTGGAATCCCCCCCTCCGCGGGACCACTGGAATCCCCCCTTGAGCCAGGAGGAGGAGGAGAAGGAGGAGGGGAGGGGAAGGGTGAGGAGGAGGAGGAGGAGGAGGAGGAGGAGGAGGAGAAGGAGGAGGAGGAGGGGAAGGAGGAGGAAGAGAGAAGGGATGCGGAGGAGGAGGAGGAGGAGGAGGAGAGGAGGAGGAGGAGGAGGAGGAGGGAGGAGGAGGAGGAGGAGGAGGAGGAGGAGGAGAGAGGAGAAAGACGAGGAGGAGGAGGAGAGGAAGAGAGGAGAAGGAGGAGGAGGAGGAGGAGGAGGAGGAGGAGGAGAAGGAGAGGAGGAGGAGGAGGAGGGGAGAAGGGAGGGAGGAGGAGCAGGAAGGAGGAGGAGGAGGGAGGAGGGGAGGGGAGGACGAGGAGTAGGAGTAGGAGTAGGAGTAGTAGAGAGGAGGAGGAGGAGGAGGAGGAGGAGGAGGAGGAGGAGGAGGAGGAGGAGGAGGAGGGAGGAGGAGGAGGAGGAGGAGGAGGAGGAGGAGGAGGAGGAGGAGGAGGAGGAGGAGGAGGAGGGGAGGAGGACGAGAATGAGGAGGATGAGGAAGAGGAAGAGGAAGAGGAAAAGGAGGAGGAGGAGGAGGAGGAGGAGGGAGGAGGAGGAGGAGGAGGAGGAGGAGGAGGAAGAGGAGGAGGGATGCGGAGGAGGAGGAGGAGTTACGGAGTTACGGATTTTGCGACTGTGTCGGTTACGGATTAGCTTAAAGAGAACGAGCCGCTCTTCTGGCCTGATCAGCTTTGCTGTAAGCTTTAGGCCAGATCCCCCGTTCGATATTCTTCAAATAATATACACGGTTACCTGCAGGTCTGCCAACGCACCTCTTCCCGAGTTGGGCCAACTGCTGGGCCACAAAACTACCACAGGTGCCGCAGAACCATATCCCCAGCCCAGCGTGATATTGTAAACTGTGAGTCTCATCAGCCCACCCTCCACAGATGTGCACCCTGCAACGGGGGGGCGGCCTGAACACAACGCCATCTACAGCCCTCAGGTCGAAGCAGGGGGTATCCAACCAGACTTTTCCCCTAGCCTTAGTCGTTGAACTCCTACACTTCAAACATGAGAGACCGCTTTCAGACAACGTATGTGCCGTGGAAAACTCTTTGCAGACAACAGGCGCGGGTGGCCTGGGCCCAGGGTTCCTGACACGGGTCCCGCGGGGCTCCTCGGCCGCCAAGGCCTGCTCGGCTTTTAAAGTTTCCAAGGTGGCGAGCAGAATTCGCATGCGGACGGCGAAAGCCATCTTCTCATTCGTGAGAAATCTGGTACGAATCGGGGCTGGGATTCTGACTGCACGCGCCGTTGCCGACGCCAACTTATCAGCGGCAGCATTTCCCACAGCCAAATACAAAGGAGCTCTGCCCTTGAGGACGTCACACGCCTCTTGGTGAGAGTACACGAAGAGGACAGCACAGACAAGGTTGGGTTTTCTACTGAGTACCTGGCCTACCTGATGCCACAAATCCGCGTTCCCCCC